GTGTATATATATATATATATATATATATATATATATATATATACACACACTTAATTTTTAAATACACTCTAAAAGCTGTTATGCATTTCCATAGCCCAGGTGTTCAATTTCTTCTCAATGGTGGAAAACACGGGAAAGACATGGAACTCAAAAGGAACCTAAAATACCATAAAAATTCATTAAAAACAATCATGAGTATAAAACAGTTCATTAGTTTAAAAGTAACTAAAAGCTAAAATATTTATATTTAGAAAATTAGTGAATCATGTCAGTACAAAATTTTATTTGTCTAAAAAACAGCTTATACAGAAACATTTATAACATTAAAATATATATAACATTTAACTGTCTCTATTGAAAAAAAACCTAACAGCAATTTCAGTAGCTATAATTTTTTGTACTCTTACGGTAACAGTGATTATTAACAGATTTTGAGTTGTTTTCACAGTACTAACAAAAGCAGGATTTACAAGAGGAAATGTAGACACCAGCCAACCTTTATTTCCTACCTAGAAAAGGCTGGGTGGCTGGGTTGGTATCAGGCACCTAACCATCTAATCTCACAACGTAGGATCCAAACTGGTCAGTCCTTATAAAAACTGGTCAGTTCTTGTAACTGCACTAAGGGAACCTTTTCAAATTAGCTTCTTCGTGCCATTCCCAGGGATTCCGATTTATTAGTTCTAGGACACAGTTCGGGAATCTTTATGTCTAAAAATCCTTCCTGGGTGGTTCTCAACCTTGGTGCCATATTAGTCAAAACTTTGGGAGGTCTGAAAAACCCCAGTGTCTGTCACACACCAGATCAATAAATTGAAATTCTGGGGAAGAAACCCAGACATCAGTGTATTTTTTAGTGTATCTTTGTGTTTTGTTGTTTAATCAGTAAAAAGATTCCCAGGTTACTTCGATGTGCAGCCAAGACTGAGAACCAGTTCTGGGTGACTCTGGCCATGGCCAGGCTGGAAAGCACTGTTCTGACATACCCACCGGGACCGCTCTCCACCTAATGTGTTACCCTGAGCCGACAGGCTGTCTTCCACCCCTGCTCCTCTCTTCTTCTGGCTTGTGTTTGGTTTAGAAAAAGGAAGGAGAAAGGTACTTCTGCCTGCTCTCTCTCGGGGATTTCAATGACAGCGCTGCAGGTACAGACGGGGGGCCTGCTACTCTGATTTGGAATTTATACAGGAATGCAGTTATGCTACTTTTCAATATTTGTATTTTTAAAAGAAAAAAAAATTATTTCCCCAACCAAATCTTACAGCACTTTATACAGAATACCTAACCCATGTATATCATAAAACAGAACATACATGTTACTGAATTCCGTCTAGAAAGTACATAAATGAACAAGACCAAATTCCATATTAAAGTAAATGCATACATTCCACAAGTAAATAAACTGACCTGATTCACTAACTTTCCCTGAAAAAATTATGTAACCAAAAGGACAGGATAGAAAACTTGGCAACAGATGTAAAATACCCATAAAAGATCTGCTCAATCAATACTGGTATTTAGAAGTAATTCTTTTAAATTGCAAAATATTACTGCTTAATCTGGATCAATGGGTGGAAGGGACAAACCATGTCTAAGAAAAATAAAAAAAAACAAAAGTACTGCCCCAAAAAGGATACAAGAAAGGATACACTTTGAATGAGTTTACACTGGAATTTAGCAGGAACGCTTCTAAAAGAACAGCAGGACCCGTTCAACTTCTTCTTATTTCACATGAAATTTATAAGTAAGTGATTTGTTTTAAAGCGCACACTGAAAATTGTTTCTTTAACTGTCTCACTAAGGTGTCTGCGGGATTTCTGACTACACCAATACAGACACTTTAAGATAAATTCAAATACTCACAGTATCTCCCAAGAGGGATAAACATGAAGCAAAATCTTCTCTAAATTATATGTTTTCAGCTTAACCGGTAATTCTGACCCCTTCACTTCATGTTCTTCCAGTATACAAAGGCGGAAAAGTTTTAAATAAATATATTTCCATTCATCTTCCTTAAATCAGTCAATGTTACACACAACTTCAAGTTGGAAATGTAATTCTACCATTTTTAATAATAAAATTACTTAAGTATGCCTTAAAGTTACATATTTGAAAGACAAAATATTTCATTCCACATAACACACATGTGTATTTCTCTGAAGCATTCGATTAGTAATTTAATGTACATTCTCAGGCCCCACAAGGTGAGCTGAGCCATCTGGCCTGGCCTGGCCGACACGCTGTCACAGGAAAACTCGGGGGTTGGTTCCCGAGGTCCCCACCCCAGACCTACTGAATCAGAAACTCTTGCAATCAGACGCACTCCCCTTATAAAATTCATTCTCCAAAGGTAACCTTTACATATAAATAGGCTTTATTCTGTAGTTGTAATTTTGAAGTTTAATGGGGATTAACTGCAGTTAGACAGAGACAGAGATGGATATGGACAGATGGATGCATGAACCTGACTGGCCCTTTAAAAGCCTTAGGAGATACTTGACTTGACTTTCCTTGGAGTTGTGCACAGGTGAGATGGGGCTGGGGAAACCTCCTCGATAAGAGCTTAGGTGGCAAAACCTCAAAAAACTCTTTTATTAATTCACATCCACACTTACCTTCACCAATTTTTATCACTTCCTCTTTCCTTCTTTAGAATCTTGTTTTGGTCTAGCAGATCGAGCAAACTGCTGATATTTAAAAATTAAGGTTTCCTTCACAAACATGAAAGTCATCTTTTCTAAATAATTATCAAGAACTTTCCAATTTAGGGTAGAAATACAGTTTTTGAACTTATGTTTTATATTTATTTTTATACTCTCAAGACATTTGTGAATTATTTTTATCTACCTGCTGTCCATGATTTTGGGAAGAAATTAAAAATTGACTTTTCTCTCCAGTCAGTATCTTTTACACCCAGACCTTCATCCATCCCCCTGGTTTCTAGCTTGCAAACTGCATTAACCATTAAAAGCAGTATGGCTAATCAACGATATATTTTGGTTAGTAAAATTCTGAAGTACAAATATAAATTACAATGTGATAAAATATAAAATAAAACTAAAATGAACCATCTTTCCTTAATGACTCCAAATGTATTTCCGGATACTGTCGTCTTAGGCTTAGAGTGAATACATACATACTTTTGAGCTGTACAAGTGAAACATTTAGACTTGGCTAAATTTTAATAACCTCACACTGCTGAGGTTCCTTTATTCTCCAATAGACACCTAAACATCACTCACTTGACTCAGGTAGGCGGGTCTGTAACTGAGCATCTCAAGGTAGAGTGCCAGGTGTCGAGTCTTCTAAAGGAAGATAAAATTAGTCTCAATTACACCCTTCTCCTAAAAACTAGTCTTTGGAACAGGCTGATTTAAAGGATACAACCACCATGGGTTTTCCAAACAGGACATATCCATTAGCCTCCTTTAAGGCTTTTGCGGCTGCCTTTTCGTTGGGGAGTCCGACAAAGGCTTGTCCTTTCATGCGGCCCTCCTTCATCAGGCGGATATCAAACCTGGAAGTCACAAAGGTGTGGTTTCGATTCAGAGAATGTCAAACCATGATGATGAAATGAACAGAGACGTGTCAAACGACTTAAAGTGTTGCCATTCAGAGTAAACACAACTATACAATCAGCACATGAACTACTCTGGCTTCCTAAACCTGTATTTTGTGTTCAGTTCTAAAACTGATCCTGTAAGTAGGTGCTATGAGCTTGGGGATGTGCTTATACCTATTGTTTAGCTACTTTAAATGTATTTATGTGATTTAAAAATTATATTACCAGCAACTATAAAAGTAAATTTAAGTTTTTACTTTATATTACTATTTTTACAAAATGTCATGCAGCCAATTCAATACTATCTACTCAACCTAGAAAACCAGACTCTCTGGGGGATGGACCCAGAAAACTGTTCACCAAGTTCTCCAGGCCACTCCTATGCAGGTTAGCGCTGGAGAACCTGGCCTTTGAAGCCAGAGTTGATGATGGAGCCTGCCTGTCCTATAAACAGTTACTAGAACCCAGCAGCGAGCAGTCAGTTATGTATTATGTATGCTGCTCTCACACTACACAGAACTGAGTGGCTGCAACAGGTACCATGTGGCCTGCAATACAATTAACATTAAATGTTTACTCCCTGCCCATTTACAAAGAAATGTGCTGATTCCTGTTTACCACTAAAGGAAAAATGCTGGAAAAAACAGGGCTACTTTGTAACAGACTAAAAGAAAAATCCGAGAATGTGACAGCCACTTACATTATCCGCTGTGTGTCTGATGAAAAGTCAACATATCTTCCAAAAATAAACTTAAGGTCCTAGAATTTCAACAACAAAAAACAAGTAAGGAAGTCAGCAAAAATAAATACATAAATAATAAAAAAAATTATTTATAAATTTCAACCCACCTTTTCTTGAACATGTTTAGCTAAATTCTTTACATAAATTCTACAGTTTGGTTCACCAGGTTCATAACTTCTGAAAACCGAAAGCGTTTCCATTTCTTATTTAAAAACAAAACAAGGAGATAAAATTAAGATTTTTTTATCTATCAAAAAAACTAACATTCAAAATAACTGTTAAATCGACAAAAAAAGCATTATGAAAATGTTAAAACCATAAAAATAGCAATATTACTAGTGGGATAAAAATACCCATTAAAAATGTGAATTAAAAATATGAAATAGTTTAATATTTTTAGGCATCCAAAATAACTAAAATTTATCCAATAAAATATCTACTATTATAGCTCCTTTAAGATGAGTTACTTTACTAGAAAGACTGAACTGAATTAATGTTATCAATGTTGGTGTAACTGTTTTGCTTCAAGTCAAGTTCCCAAACCACCAGGCACCAGCACATGCAAATGTAAGAAAGTTCTCACACACAATAATCGAGTGTTTCAGACAAACAGCAGCTCCTCAACCCCCACTGCTACTCCTACATAGTGTCAATGGTCTGTCCCCAATAACCAGATGTTCTATGCAAAGATGCCTGTTAGAAGCCTAGTTCCCATTATCATGGGAAAAATTATAAGATGTTACACATCAATCTAAAACCCCTAAACATGTTCCTAAAATGTACAAAAAAACAGGAAAAATCCTTTGGAGATCAAAAACCATCATGTAAGGATATAAAATCCTTAAATACGGACTTCCAATCACCAAATAAAGGTTATTATTTATAAACAACGTCTGGGTCTATCAGCAGGAACAGTCTCCAGAATACGGGCCAGTAATGTGTCTGTGATGTCACAGAAGGTTTTAGGAATGAAAACCGAAATCTTTTCCAAACAAACAGGAACTGGAAATGCACTGAGAGGGACCTTCCTCCCTATGGAGTCTGTGCACCACCCCCCAACCCTGGAGGTGAAGAACGCTAACGAGGGGTGTTCTGAAGTTTGTTTCGCAGGGTAAACAACAGGACAAGACTTGTTGAGTTTTGAAGGGCTGAAGAGACTTAAGACAAAGTAAGTGCTGGTGATTTCACAGAATTACCTTCTCTAGAAATCCTGCCCTTTTCCAGCTCCCTCCGAGAAATACACTCCGAGGGCATCTCATCAGAGTCTTCCTTCCTCTCCTCCGCGATGTCCAAGTTAGGTCTGGGGAAGATTTTTCCAAACCCTACGCTGGATGCATCGGCTCCGGTGGCAGGTAAATCTAAGAGGTAACGTCAACAGCAGCCATTAAGAATCCGTCCCTTCAAGACAGTCTTAGTTTTCCACTTTTAATCTTTAATATATCTTTGGCACTGAGCCCTCTGGTGCTTTTCTCGGCACTTTGAACCAAGTTATTAACAGTGGAATTATTAAGTAGTGGAATAGAGGACAGTGGGGTTTGAAGCACCAACTTTTAAAAATGTTATTCTACATACCCGTTTTGATTACACTTCCTGTAAGCTTGCATTACTTCCAAAATTAAAATAAAAGATTTAAAGAACAAAGGAATGCCATTATAATATCAAATTAATGCCTAAAACCAGCAGAGAAAGATCTATAATTTCAATAAATTATCTTTAAACTTAAAACAGTATCTTGCTAAACAGTCTTCCATGTTCTTTAGATTAAAAAAAATTTATATAAAATCTACATCTCGCAAGATAGTTACATTGCTGTTTTCTAACCAATATGATTATACTAACAAAACCCCTGAACATCACATTTAACAAGCAATGGAAACAGCAGTACAAACCCAACTAAATTTCACCCTGGGGGTCACTACCAGCAAAAGGCACCAGTGACATCCTCATCGTGAAGCACCAGTTTTAATTACATAAAGAAGTTCGTAATGAAGAGGATTCATGATACTGAGGAAGACCCAACTGCATATTTTAAATATAGTTCACAAATATTAAGAGATACTACATACAGAATTTAATTCTAACACAAACGCTGACTGAGAAGTGTTTACGTGAGTATTGAAGAGCCAGATCATACTCACCAGGATTCTGTTCTTCAAAACCTTCCTTTTCCGAGTCTTTCTTAAGTGCAGCTGGCATGTCAGTAGATATATGGAATTCAATTTTTTTATTGCCTACAGGCAGTGGTTGATCAAACACATCTGAGGGTGACAGCACCTGGTGTAAACTGCTGTTTGTAAATAATCACAGTGTTACTTTTTAACTGCAAACAGTATCCCATGTAAGACACTACTTTGTGTTTACTGTTCATCTATAAGCTGACAGGGCACTGGACACTATAGGAAGTTCACAAAGCAAAACTTCCACTTAATACTTTGATAATAATGTGGTTCATATTAATTATCTTTAATTGTTCAGAGCTGCTGTAGGGATTGAGTGCATGGGACTGTGGGTCAGGACATACATGGGGAGGAAACATACAAGGATTAAGGACTCATCCCTTTAAAAATGGAGAAAAGATAATTTTAACAAACCCCTTTCTCAATTTATGAAGTTACAAGTTCAAGGAAAATGTACATTGTAGAAAAGTTCAATTAGATTAAAATTGCAATTAAGAGTAATTTTATCTGATTAAGACACTAAAAAACATGGAGCTCCAAGGCAAACAGGCAGGTAACTGACATCTCTGCCCTACTGATTTCAAGTACTGGGAGTTCAGAGCCCATACTTCACAATCCAGGACAGACCTACCTGTGGGAAACAGACGCAGGCGTGGCCAGCATGTCCTTTATTTTCCGCTTTTTCCTCACATGGCGCTGCTTAGTTGCCTTTGGTCTTTTGGGCTGAAGATTTGCTAATTCCATTAGTTTGGCCATTCTACCTTGGGGGAGGGGAAAGGAAAAAATATTCCTGTACACCTGAAGGCTGCCGGCTCCACCCCTGGTCAGGGCGCCAACAGGAGGCAACTGACCGATGTTTCTCTCTCCCCCTTCCTCTCTCTAAAAATCAATAGACATATCCCTGGGTGAGGATTAAAAAATTATAATAATAACGAGGAAATCTCTTGGAATCCCAGCAGGTGTCACCTGGGGCACGGACCTCTGTCTGCCCTCGTCGTCACTGCTTTCGTATTCTGACTCTGTGCTCGAGAAGTCCTCGTCGTCCTCTGGCAAAGGGGGTTCCGCGGGCGGCCGAGGAGATGAGGGGGGCAGAGGTGCATGTAATGGCATGTAGTCTTCATACTAAACAACAGAATAGCCCATGCTGTTTCCAGGACAGAAAGAGCACTTCCGCTCGATGCACGCCTCTCCTGTCCCTAGCTTGGGATATTCTTACAGGCTCTGCACACACCACACCGAGGGGCACCTGCTATGCAGGCGGCTTGCTGAGCAAAACTCCGTTTCTTCTCCCTGGGCACCTGGCTGTGTAAATTTCCAAATGTCCCTGGCAAGCAGATTTCACCATGGAACTGAGCTCTAGCCAGAGGAGTGTTGGCATGAAAACCTTTCACACATAATGCTCTTCCTCCCTGCTCTGCAGGCTGAGTGGCAATGCCCGCATCAGCCTGGGGACGCCAGTGGTGGAGAAAGCTGAGGTCTGCTGAAGGACTCAGAACAGAACATCACTCTGCCCTGTTTTTGGAATGAACGTGGCTTGAGCAAGAAGTGGCTTATATTGTGTGAAGTGACTAAATGAGTAAGGCTTGCATTTTTTTGGTTAACTACAGTTGGTATAATCTTAACTAATATCCCTACACTGTGCTACGCACTGAGGCGGTGGGTGGCAGAGGAAAATTATGAAGCTAAGAGTATACACACTAGAAAAGCAGCCCATCCACAACACACAACAGAAAAGTAAATTTTCTATGTAACCTTCAGCACTGGAAATAATCTCATTGCTGTCATCTAAGAAAAGGACTGTGGCAAAATAATAACTAGAATTGTTCCAGAGCAAACAAAGCTTATTATCTAAATTAGTGATAAATTTGCATAGTAAATTCTAATTAGAATATTAGCAACCTTTCTCAAGTGAAGCTCCATATGCCACAAAACCAGAAAAGGGGAATTTGAGATAATCCAGCTTACTCCAGGTAACTAGCTCCTAGGAGGGCTCACTGCTCTGGATGGAAGCAGTAACCACTCAGCACAGGTGAGGGCCTCCTCCATGGTCTGGCTCTGTCCTCTCCCACCTTCAGTTCTCCACCTGACCGTTACCATTGTCACATTAACTTTTTGTATTTGCTCCTTACTGTCAGTGCACATTCGAGGTCACTGGCACAACATTTGTAAAACCCACCTCTGGAGGAGAAATTCTGAATCTTGAAAATTCTAAGAGCTTCCTTACCATGGGAGGCCGTGCAGTGACTGGTCCAAAAGGTGTGGGCAAGTTCATTTTATTCATAAGATGAAGCACCTTAAATTGACAAAGCATTTAGAATCACTTAGTAAAACAGCGATTCGACTCATGTTTCATGTGCTTAAAACTCTGCGGTGACAGTACCGATGAATGCAGTGCAGGGGCCAGAAGACCACTCACCTTTATGACCCCAGGACAGGGCTATGCAAGGCCCCGAGTATCTCAGATTAGCCTTCCTAAAATGTGTGTGAACTCTACAATTATTCTCATTATTAAAATGCAAAATCTTTGAAATGTTATTTTTCCCTTGATTATTGTGAAATTAGGAAATACAGAGAAGTAAAATAAGGAAATGATTCATATGTTGAATCCTTGCCCCCAATGTGATGGTATTAGGAGGTGGGTTGGGGGGGAGGAGACTTTAGGAAGTAATTAGGTCATATGGTAGAGCCCCCATGAATGGATTAGTGTATCTTATGAAAGGGAACCTGAGAGCTCTCACCCTCTTTGGGCCAGGGAAGTATTCTACTCACCTGGACGTAGAACTTGGGCACACTTGCCAAAGCGTTTACTATGTTTGCGAGGATTGTGCTCGACGGCGGGGGGTACATGTACTTGAGGCATGAATTCAGAGGAAATGTCAGCCTAAAAAAATATTTAAAACACTTTATCATGTTTGACTGAATTTTGTACCAATAACTTTTAGGAAATCTGATAACATACAAAATTGTTCCAATAATTCAGTACTCCAGATTTACTCTGTGCCTAATAGATCCAAATTAAGTACATTTAGGAAGGAACTTGCCTTCTGACTGCATTAAAGGGAAATAGATTTTCCTTAGCAGACCTTATAGCTCTGAACATTCTAATGGAACCAAGTTCAGTGACAGACCCCCACAGCTCAAAATGCTTAATCAACAGATTAAAAATATAGATGAAAGAAATCCCTTTTAAGTAAATGCTCTTACTTACAATACACACACACAGAGCAACAAAACTAAACAACAAAATACAAACAGCGCTAACCCATGGTTTGGTGCAATTCCGTTTTCTATAGTTACACAACCAAGCTCTTTCTTCTCTCTCTCGTCTTCCACAGGCTCATCAGACCTAGGACACACAGAAGCAAGTTGATCTCATCTTTAGAAACAGAGTGAAGCGCTGCACATAGGAAAAACACTATCCTTTCACACATAGCCTTATGAAAACAGTTCCACAATAAATAAAATCTCCAGATATCGGACATGGCATGTCACCTTCCACTTCTCTTCACTGCACCCCTAGGAAGACGGTGGGATAAATCTCTCTGGTGTACAATAGTGAGGCTCCAATTTCTTCAGTGTGCATTGTCCCTCCTCCCTAATTTCTTACTCAGTAGGACAGGGTTAAGGCCCAAAAATATGTATTCCAATCAAGATCCCAGAGGATGCAGCCAGTCCAGGGACTAGGCTTTGAGAACGACTGGTGTAAAGCAAATTTGTAAAGGTTATAGAACTACAAAGAGTTACCGCTAAGAACCAAATATACCAGTCTTTGATTTGGAAGGCATACCTATCCATGACACCTGCTATCTGTAATTCAGCAAAGACTTTATGCTAGCTACCTTCCCTTCACTTAAAGTTGAATGCCTTTAACCCCAAATTCCTAATATTAAATCAATTCCTAATGCACAATTAGGAACAAAAATAAATACATTTTTAATGCACTAGATTCAATTAGAGAGCTGTATCATTTACTGTTTCAAATTATTTACCTGCTAGTCTCAAAACAATCCAATAGCAATACGACTGATTAAAAAGCACTGTCAAGTGTTAGGAAGACCTAACCATCTACATACCTTTTCTTTTTGTCAGTGCCTAAGGAGGGACACGGGGAATGAACTTGATCTTGATCTTTTGCAAATTCAACTACTAAAGTATGACCTAGAAGTTTCAGCTGGTGCAGTCTTGTCAATGCCTTCAGTTGGAAGAAAAGAGTAAAGAATTTGACAATTGCACCAAAAATTACTTGTTAGAGAACATATACATTTACACACATTCTTTGTTAATGCTATTATCACTTCCTTGGCTGTTTCTTACCCATTTCTAATCTCTGGCTGCCAAGCTTTTATTACTTATTAAGAACTGCTTCCTATCAGTCTCCCTTTTAGAGAACTGGAGCCCCAGTGAGGGCATAAATCTTTGTATTGTTCACTCAGGTACCCGGAGATCTAAAGCAGCATCTGGCACACAGTTAATCTACTATTCTTATGTCCAAATACCTAAACTTTGGTGAGTTGGCAACTGACAAAGCAGATGTAGCCTGTGGGGACCAATCTTCAAATACAAACCCTTCTGCTTTTTAAAACTCTAGTTTAACATTATGTGTTATTTTTGAACCAAGATTGGATAAAAGAAAATTGTTAACTTCAATAGTAAATAAAAAAGGCGTACCTTTATAGCTGCTTTTTCATTAGGGAAAGTAGCAAAAGCTGTATGTTTCTGAAAAATAATTAAGGTACAAATTATTTCGAATTTCAGTTTTTCACAAGGCGACCGGTCTGGTACTTTACCCGTAATAGTGACTTGATACACTGATAAAATCTTGGTGAAGGATGGACCACTGGGATCACTTTATTACTACTGATTTCATCGTGGTGGTTTCCAGTCATTTCGGATCAGACTGGAGACAAAAACTATGTGCCCGCGCGCACATGCGCCCGGGCGCCCGCACGCACACACACGAGCGCATGCACGCTCGTACGTATGTACACATGAGCACACGCACACAGACGCATGCACACATGAGCGCACACATGCACACATGAGCGCACACATGCGCGCACGCACACAGACGCATGCACACGCACAGCACATCTGACACACTGTCAAATAGTTTAACAGACCATAAAATGAAAAACGGCTGCAATACCCAAAGGACCATCCTTCAACCATCCTAAAGTATAAAATACCTGCCATTTTATAACACGTCTAAAGATCTTAAACTTATGGCCAAATGCAGAGTTTAAAATGTTCAACCAAAAATAATTCCCCTGGGCTTTATCTTTGTAATAAGGGTTCAACTTCAGAAGTCTCTTTTAAAAGTATAAATTGTAAATATTTTTGAAACCGTCAGAGAAGGAACGTCGGTGAGAAGACGACGCTGTGACAGCGGTCAGCGTGGCCCACAGCACTGGCGGCCGCCTGAGCAAGCTCCGCACGGGCACGGCTGTCCAGCCTGACGCGGAACGGCCGGAGCGTGCGCTGAGCCGCGGAGTACCCGCGGGTGCGGGGTACAGCGGGCCCCCCGCGAGGCCGCCGCGACCTCCGCACCCCCTTCGTCATTCTGCGCAGGAGCGC